CTCTGTCTCTAATTTTCTTGCAACTCCATCATTGCTATATATCCAACATTTTTCGTATGAAACAAGCGCCATGCCATGTTTTTGCAAAGTTTTCGTCTCTTTTCTTGTTCTTTCTTGTCTTGTGTGTGTGTTTTTCTTTGGTGCTTTTCTTTTTCAACCGACCCACCTTTTTCCCATTTTGAATTTTCCATTAGATGTGGAAATTTTATTTCAATTTCTCCCCAAATTGACGGCAAAACAACCATTTTTCGAGTAGCGAAAGAAAACCATGTCTTTTTTTCTCTCTTTTGCTTCGTCTTCATCGCCTTCGTTATTTTTTCCTTACTGTAGGCGCGCGAGTGCTTCGTTTTTGTAGAGAAGAAAAAAAAAACTCTGATGTTTGCTTATTTAGAAGCTAAAAACGTTCCAACGTTACTGCTGTCGTCTGAGTGTTTGTATGTGTGTGTGTGTGTGTGTGTGTGAGTCTGTGCATTTTCGGTGTATATCTTTGGCACTGTCTAAATAGTATACTTGTTTGTTTATGGTTTGATTAAGTTGACTGAGCTAGCAATCAAAGAAAATCGACAAAATTTATATCTCTCTCGCGCGTTCACTATGTGTGTGTCTTGTCGTTGCTCGAACGATGGAAAAAAATTTTTTTGTTCAGGCTATACATTAGTTTGTGGATGCGCTATTCGATCGTCATTCGATCTGTTTCGAAGTTCTGGTGTGAAGCGACAAGAAGAACAAACAATGTTCATTCGTTTGTTCGTTTTTTGTTTTCTTCCATTCTGTCAAACGAAAATTGGGAAATCGAATTTGTTTGTTTCTGCATCATCGATGTGTTTATCATCAGTGGTAATTTTTTTTTCTCTCTCTCTTTCTCTTTCTATCTGGTGTGTTTTATTCTCGGTATGCATTTGAAATGCCATTAAAATCTCGCACATTCACTCAATCACTATCTACCATGGTTAAGTCACATGTGGTGCATGAAAAAAAAAATTGTACTTAAATTTAGTGCACATTCCAAAAGTGATATACATACACATCAGTCGCCCAGCTTACTCATTATATTCTCTTCTCCACTCTCTTGCTCCGTGCACTGATGTTCGTTTAATTTTGGTTTAAATTAGTTCTATGTTCTTCCAATTAAAAAGTCGTTTTTAAAAAGGAAGCAAATGAGAATTTATAAAAACACACATAAGTGGCTTGCACACACGGAGCACCGATAGAGATAAAGAGACGCAGACGGGAGAATGGAAAGAAACGAGAAAAAAAAATGTGAAGAAATTATGGCCCAAAATGAACAGAAAACATTATTTGAGCATTGCCTTACACGGCAGCATTATGCTGCTCTATCTACTTGCAGCAAAGAATAAACAACGAGAGAGACGCAATTGTAGACCCTTCACGTAAGAGACGCACACACACACATGCATTTACCAAATTCATCAAAGCAAACTGTATATAGTTCGGGTGTTAGTTTTCCGTGGATTGTTTTTTTATCATCTCGATTTTCAGTGGAAAACCGTGGAGCAATGCGATGCACATTTAAAATTACACAAATTACGTAAATGTGCCATAGAATCAGCGAGAGAGAGAGTTTGAGAGAAGAAAAAAGAGCAGCAAACCAAATGGAACGCCGAAAAATCCAACGATTTTACTACCAGAAACAATGAAAATGAACGGAATGCGCGTACGTTTGCACGAAAATGTGTGTATACATTTTGAATTGGGCTGTTTTTCGCATGCGAGAACGCACTTCAAACTGCATTCCACCATGATCAAAGGGCTTGAAAGATGAGATCGGGCGACCGCGAGCCCGACAGCACGAATAGGGAGCAACAATGAGACAACGATTTTCAAAAGGAACGAACGAGTGAGTGAGCAAACAAGCACGGGAAAGCGGAGGAATAGCTTCGAAAATTGAACATATGCAAAGCAAGTGGCGCGCTTGGTACATTCAATACGAATTGCTGCGCTATGTGACGGTGAGTGTGTTGTAAATAAATCAATTTTCAAAACAGTCGCCCAAGAATAAGCAACTATCAGCACGCAAATCACACCGTAAATTCTTAAAATGGTTTATGTCATTGTTACTATGCCGATTTGTTATGAGGTTCGTTGTTGTTGTTGTTGTTGTCGTCGTCGTTGGTTGTTTTTTCGCTTCTGCGGTGCGCTTCTTTCGAAATCGACAAAAACGAGCGAGCGCGCGTAAACCTCGAATTTTTATGGCTTTTTCGTTGTTCTCGAACTACTGAGGCCAAAACTCTCTCAATACTGCTGCTTGTTCTCTCTTTTTTTGTTATAAGGCTTTTTTTTATTCCTCGTTTGCCATTTGGCTTTCGATGATCCACGGATTCGTACGTGGTTGAGATTAAATTTCATGTGTGAATGTGTGGTAAAATCGCTTCGGTAAAACGGTTCTTGCTGGCTGAATATAGAGGTTTTTTTTCACCATTTGCCACCGCCGCCGCCGCCACCGTCGCTGCCTCAGTCTCGGGCTTATTGGAACGTCATCGTTCTTCATCTTTTCGTTTCGATTGTTTCTGTGGTTTTTCATTTCACAACTCTTGTGTGTGTGTTCACTGTTCACACATCAGTTGCGTTCTTTGTTGTTTATTATTTATATCTATCTCGGAACGAAATGTAAATTCTGCGGCAACAATGAGAGGCGAGAGAACAAAAAAGAAAACAGTCAGCGATTGCCGAACCAGCAATTTCATTTCTGATCTAATATTTGATATTTACATTTTTAATTCGATCATAAAGCGATTCTAAGCGAACCGAATCTAGTGAACGAAGCAGAACACCACACAACACAATCCTAACATGCAAACGAACGAACGAACGAACGAGAGAAAGAGGAAGAGAGCAGCAACGATGGCAATGATGACGATGAGTGTTCGATACGAGAAACGCGCTCTCGCTCGCGCTCACAATACTCATCATACGATCACTGCTGCATTGCTGTGCGTAAACCCATTGCGAGATGGTTTGTATGTGTTTGTACTCAAGCCGACTGGGCTCAGCTATCTCATATGCACGTATATGGGCCACGAATTGCTGCCTGTATTCGTTTGCTCCGCGATGCACTCTTGCACCGATTATAAACAACTACACTCGACAGTAGGAATAACCTAACGAGAACAACACAAAATGAATTACACATGAAAAAACAACAACGCAGCAATAACACAGCAGCAGCGGCAGCAATAGCACCACCACCAACAACAACTTAAATGCTACGAAAAACCAGTTGTATTTATTATAAAAAGCGGCGGCGATTTATCACTATTCTTTGACTTGCTGTTGTTATGTTTTATATATAAAGTTTTTTTTTTGCATTCTTTTTTGTTTCATTTCAGCGTGCAGCTAGTTCGTTCTCTTTCGGATCTTTTATTCGCAATAAACCTTTTCCCTTGATGCAATTTCATTTTTAACACCGGGAAATTTTCATTCGATGTGCGCTTTTGTTGTTCAATAGCTTTTTTTTCAGCCACATTTCGGACACAAAATGCACACAAAGTGGATAAACTGAGAGAGAGAGAGAGAGAGAGAGAGAGAGAGAGAGAGAGAGAGAGAG